TTCCTATTGCTCAACTTTCTCTGGAGACTACGAGACATTCTTTCCGACTGTTGTTATGCGCGTCTCCATTCGAGACTACCTAGGTACGACTACAGTTTATTGGACGTTTGGGGGGTCGGCTCCCTGGAAGTTAGTTCTGAACGAGTTGTATTTATATCCTAAAGTTGTTTGAAGAACACACTGTCGTCAGGCCTGAATCTCTAGGCGAAGATTTGAACGAATGACTCCAAGGTAGATTTTGCTAATCTGGACACAACTTGTAGCACCCAAAATTCTTCACCTAGTAGAAGCTGATGCTGAGCTCATCAACCAACCTAGCGTGGATCAAGATTATAGTCACTTATCACGTCCCAGCTTGTACAATGCTTTCCAGGAGCAGGTTTATCAATCTCTCCACGCGCAATCTTCTCTTCGAGTTCCTTCTGTTGTTCCTTCCGTTCTAACTGGTTCTGCTCAATCGCAGCCATGCGCTCATTAAGCGTTCCCGGGAACGGCAACACCCCCGGAGGCGGGTTTAACCATTGTCTACACAACATCGACGATCAGCAAAACTGAATGAGATGCATGGAGATACCTAGTTACGACTTACTCTTTGGGAACATTTCGCCCGTCTACTCCGCGGAAGCGATCCTCGACTGCCTGGCTCCATGGCTTCCGGTCAAGCCACCGCTTGATCATCCTAGGAGATAACGGCTGGGCATCGTATACGCCTTGGCGAGTTACTTCATCGTCTGGTGTTGGTAACCAGACCATGTATCTGACAAGGCCGTCGTTGCAGAGACCTCGGGTGTGATTTCCGTGCGGTGGTCTCTTCAACAATTTGAGTACCTCGCGGAGCTCATCCGTGGCACTGGGCTGACCCTCTATGTCAGCTGGTGCAGCACCGTCTGAAGTGACATCGTCATGCTCTGCAGCTTGTGGCTCTGCTTGAATTGAAGAGGCAGGATCGTCTTCGTGTTTCTCCGCTACTTCTTGATCTGGTCGCACCTCCGGACGGGGTGTCGACATGATGCGCGATCTGCTGTTCAGTCCTAAAATGAGGCAATTTAGGCTGAGAGACAATATAGCCTGTGTTAGCGATCAAGTATGTCAAGGGAGTGAAGAAGGAGTGCTTACGGTGAATACTTGGTGATTGGGAGTCCGTTGCTGCGTAGAACTGCCTGGGCGTGGCACAGTCGATGGGAAGAGGGGAAAAGCAGGAAGCGAGACGCAGTGTACGTGACTTTATATTAACGCTCCGTTTTCGCTTACTCAGACCGTTCGGATTGCCGACAATGACGATGATACCGATGTATGTAGCATGGGTGTGCTGATTCTCAAGTACCTCGACGAGTCAAGCTGAAGATTATAAAGCAGGGACATTCGTCCATGTAGAACTACACAATCTATCGAGCCAGAGTTCTACATCATATCAATTAACAACAGTGCATCGTCTGCTGCTACCATGAAGCTCTCAACTGCCCTATCTGCAACGGCGACACTTCTACTCATGGGAAGAATTCGAAGTCTTCCTGCTAAGTATGACGACGGAATGGTATGTCTGCACAAAACGTACAGCGCAAATAATTGATACTAATATACATGCTCAGTCCCTCCGCGATGCCCTCATGATGCTTAAGAGTGAGGATGGCGTCCGTGTGCTAGGATATGACGGAGTTCTACGCCGACTCAACGCCGCTCGTACCGAAGTAGTTGACTACATTCAACTCTCCGCCCATCACGTCGAAGAGTTCGTCGCCTGGAAGTACCCTGATCAGCGCGATACATGGGCCGGCGTCGACGGACGTGCAGTCACGGATGAAACTCAACTGTTGACTGTTCCTGACTTCGTTGTCCCTCTCGATCCGAGCACGATGGTCTCGAAGCCAAAGGACAAGACGGAGTTGAGGCCGCAGGCTACAGATTGTCGGGGCGTTACGTGTACCAACCCAGAGTATTGTAGGTCTTTCGAACCGCCGTGCGCAGAATGTGAGCCGTATCAGGAGTGCGTCGGTGGGCCGACAGGCTGTCTGGTGCGTTATATATGTGAAGATACTCTGCCACCTGCCGATCTCTAGAAGGAATTGGAAGCTTTGCCGAAGGAGTGATCATTGACATGTAGCCATCTTATAGTACACACATGGAGCAGTTTTTGGGGGTCTCGGAGTTTGAGATATGTAGCGTGTGTTGGCATTCGCGTATCCTACCATCCCTTCGAGCTGAAGTGGCTCCTGGTCTTCATCAAACTATCGTGATTGTTTCTATAGAGGAATCGCGGGTCCACCATGATGCGTCAAACCATGGCGACCTACTATCGAACCAGCCAATGCGACGGAATGATCCATGATTTTTCTGAGAAGCCTGGCGAAGGACCAAGCCGCAAGGATATGATGAGTATCGAGCCATCTCCAGTAACCATATGCGCTGATCGACTTGAGCATCACCTGAAATGCTGTCGGGCAGCGAGACTGCACTGGAGACTGGCAAAACTTCGTTCCCGTCTAGGATCATTCTGGGTAGTTTTGACCCTGTAAATCTGGTACGGCGCAGATCGAAGTACTGGAGAACTTCGTCTATTTCCAGCGAACGTAACGGCCCTCGTATTACCAAACGACCATCGATGACAGCCCCAAATGGCTTGCTCGAGTTTGCCAAGAGGACCTCACACTGTACGACTTCTGCTACTGGGTCCAGGTGATTCGGTGACCCACAAAACTCGATAGCTCCGTCAACAGAAGCCCACGACCATGATGGCGCACGATATGTCTCGGGTCGTCTAGCGGGTTGGGGACCTTTGGCAACGTCGAACATCAAGTCGTGGGACCACATCAACTCGGACATTAGAGACGCTTTCCACAACCCAGCTAGACATTCGTCTCCCGTCATGAGATGGAGTTGCTGGGCAATGCCGGAGATTGCCAGAAGCTTGTCACCTTCTTCAGTCATTTCCCTCCGAGTAAAGTCTTTCACGACGTCTCTCCATACTCCATGCGCGGACATACTGTGCGGTGACTTCGAAACTAATGCAGCTGTCAATGGTGATAACATGGATGGTACTGTTCTGATTTTGCCCATCTCCAAGTATCCCTGTGAATCAGGGTTTCCTCCATCGGTGCATCTGACGGTTTGGCACTCCCACACTAGCTGTTGTGAGGAGAAATATAGTACGCGTGGAGAAAGTAAGAACTCCTGCAGGGCCCATGCTCTTCCGTCGAGTGGTTCCTCGCGTGGTTTCCTGGAAAATTGACGGTGCAAGGACACCTTCCCAAGCCTATCGTCGAGACAGCTCCAGGGAAGATCTCCGACAAAAGTTTCATAATTCGGTCTGCGTCTTTTCGATAGAAAGCCGTCTACACATCTTGATGCGTTCGTAGCTGCAATGGTGATCAATGCATTTTGATAAATGCTCGCCATCCTCGCAATTTCTTGACGCTTATCATCTTCGCTGTCCTGCACGATACAGAGCGAGTCAATCCACAAATACTTGACCCCCAATTTCCGCGTGTAAGATACTGCATCCTGTATAGTTCGTGGTAGAGCTGAGACTTGGATGCCGACTCTGTGGCTTTCTATGTTTTCGGCCAACGTCCGTACCGGTTGTGGACCACCCCAACAATAGCTTAGAGCACAGTAATGGCACCGTTCGCCGTTAGAAACATGCAGTCGAATAGCTTTTTCGCTGACATCTAAAACTCTTGTTGGTAATAGAGGAACAGCGGGTTCAGGACAGTGCTTGTGAAGCTGCTTGCACTCTTCAATCCATGATTTCGCTTGCTTGGTGCTAGAGCTGACATCGTGATTGACTGGAGAACATTTAATCTCTGCTGCTGCAGGATCATCTGAACACCACGAACAATGTCAGTTGATGCGAGGTCATGGTTGCGGGCGGGATACGAACCACGGTGCGCCAGAACCGACCACGTAATAAACCCCAATTCTTCCGACCAGTCTGAGTCTTGCGACCAGCGTGAATCTTGCCCTTCTACCTTCGTATGAATCCTTATATTATCGACAGAACGTTTAAAACTCTTTACTCCCCCGAACTTAAAAAACTGTATATTGATGGCGATTCTTGCATCTAAGTCGAAACGATCGGTGTCCCCTTTAGCGTGGTTGAACAGATAGTCACACATTTCACATTGGGCTGATGCTGCAAGTAAGTCTCGCGCCTGACAAAATGAAGTGAGACCCTCTTGACTTTTGGCCATCTCAAGATTCTCTCTGCTTGATGCGAATCCGCAAACTCCCCAACAGACAGCACAAACTTCTCGAGAAGCAGTTTTCGCGACGTCCATATTGGTCGGCTGAACAAGGCTTGGTATCGTTGAGGCGGTCTTTCCGGACAATTGTAACGTATCGTGTGTTTGCGCAATGTGTTGAACACGGATGCAATCGCTAGATGAAGGCATAGCGTGGAGGGAAAATTGTACGGAGTGGGCGATGCGTATGGTGACAGCCCTGAAGGTGGGGCATACATCACGCCCCGCAGTGACAGTCAGCGAGCTGTAGAGGTAGCCTGCCGAATACCAAGGATCAATTCGCTTGCCTCCTCCATAAGTCCTGAGACCCTTGCAGGGTCTTTTTCGTACACCCTGTGGCCCTGTAGACACCTGAGGTTGAGCGCGTGATGTCTCCACGATCTGACCTGGCCACCTCATTCATGGAGAAAGCTGAAGACCCTGGAGCGTAGACCCGAGGTTATCTGATTTGCATGTTTCTATGTTAATGTAGGCTGCAGGCCTGTTCAATCTTTTCCTTGTATGAGGTGTAGCGCTGTTGTCAGTGACTGCGCGACTTCCACATTCACGTAGCGGTGTCACCGCGGGCCGTAGAACATGTCCTCGCGAGGAAAGAGCACCCGTGCTAGCGACCCTCACTTCACCTGGTACTCACTTCTTAAGGCAGTCACCGCGGAATACAGCCCCACAAGACGAATAAAGCTCCTCGCTCACAACAGAGCTTCCTTCTTCCTCTACCAACACACGGCACCTTAACAACAGCCAGACACTCGCAGGAACAACATGCCTTCCTTCCTCGACGGCTACAACGCCTCGGTCCTGGCGATTCCAGCCTACCTCATCCGTATGTACATGCTGTCCTTGAGAGGTTACGTTCGATCGGTAGTTTAACCTAGCTCCTCCATGTTCAGTCTCGTTCCTTCCCCACGCTCTCGCTGTGAGTGTCGCTACTCGGGGCAATCTCCTCGAGTGGGACAACCGAAGCCCGCGCTCCAACGACATGAAGGCCGAGCTCAAGAAGCGCCTGCCTGCTGAGACCTACGCCAAGTACGAACGTATGGAGGCCTGTCATGCCAACGGGATGGAGGTGAGATGTGATCGACTCTTGTTGTAACGTCCGTCGAACTAACAGTAACAGAACCTTCCTCTCTTCATGGGCGCCGTCATCCTCGGTAACATGGCTGGCCTGCCGCAGAGCGAGCTCGCTTCGTTCAGCGCTTCGTTCCTAGCTGTCAGGGTCGCCTACACTGCCGCCTACATCACCACTTCCACTCAGGCGCCTACACTTGTTCGCAGTGGCCTCTGGATTGCAAGCGTCTCGCTGTGCTTCCGTGTTATCATCCGGGCTGCTGGAGCCATGGCCACCGTGGTCTAGACTCGCGGATGGAGTTGGGGTAGTCGAGATACTCGAGCGACAAGCTAGATGAACGACCGGAGCAGAAGACAGATATCGGTGACGAGGATACGGCGAGACTAGCTGATACGACATCAATGTCAATGCTGCCTTGCAATAACCATGTGTCCACTCGATGGTGTGATGTTGTTCTCTTGGAAGTATTGATGCCTAGACCATGAGAATGTGCCTCGACTTACTGATGTGGTTGAACTATACCGTCCCGTTGCTAGACTTCAAGGTGTTCTAAGTGGTCCGCGTCCCTCGGTCACTTTGAAAGACAGTCGCATGCGCATTGATCAATGCGACCCAGAATATCTCACGAACTACACGTCGCGTTGGTCAGACGTCAGTATACAGCGGTTGCCCAGTCAGTAGTGCGGATAGGTGTGGGTCTGGAGCTCACGCAATCCCGGGGCAGCTGATCGCCCAACCGAACATAAATGGATGCCTTGGGGTTCCACATCCGGCCTTCAGGAGAGCCAAAACGTGTCAAGTTCTTAGTAGCGATCATAAGAAGCGTTCCAAGTAAAGGAATAGCTGCAAGCAAGAAGCCTCTCACCGCAACTCCTTCAACAAAACGACGATAAGCGATCGCCGCCCTTGTCACGTGTCAGTGGCACTTGCCAGCTTACGAACAGTGCCCAGACTTCGCCGCGCTTTCCACCACATCTCTTCAACGCAGCCCTTCCTGTGCATCGTTTAGAGTACATCACATCCACCCGCCCCATCCCCGAATACCACCGACTCTCTTGAACCCGTCCGTAAGTCAATCGCCGCTGCATTGTTTTTTCTGCGTTTGCTTTGCCCAACCCGTAGCCGGCGCCTGGCCAGCTCCCTCGTGGCCTCGAGTCGACTCCGCAACGGGCGCTCAACATGGCTGCGCCGGCCATGCGACTCCCGTCACCGTGCTCAATACCAGCCGATAAGGCCACGATACTCTCCTCAACCCTCTTCTGACAACTAGTGTCGCAGGTTCGAGAGTCTATACACCGCCTCCCAACTCACCCGCCCTACACTACCACACACACCCACCGCAATCATGGGTCTCACATTTTCGAAGCTGTTCGATAAGCTATGGGGAAAGAAGGAGATGCGCATTCTCATGGTCGGTCTTGACGCTGCCGGAAAGACCACCATTCTCTACAAGCTCAAGCTTGGTGAAATCGTCACCACTATCCCCACCATCGGTACGTCGCGATGTGCAGCATGAGCTCAATCAGAACAATGCGCTGATTCTTCGACCTACAGGTTTCAACGTCGAGACCGTCGAGTACAAGAACATCCAGTTCACCGTGTGGGATGTCGGCGGTCAGGACAAGATCCGTCCTCTGTGGAGGCATTACTTCCAGAACACCCAGGGTATCATCTTCGTCGTTGACAGTAACGATCGCGACCGTGTTGTTGAGGCGCGTGAGGAGCTCCAGCGCATGTTGAACGAGGACGAGCTGCGGGACGCTCTCCTCCTTGTCTTTGCCAACAAGCAGGATTTGCCTGTAGGTTTCAAGAGCCGTGAACACAAATATCCAAACGACTAACAATGCGTCAGAACGCCATGAACGCCGCTGAGATCACCGACAAGCTTGGTCTTCACAGCCTCCGACAACGTGCCTGGGTATGTTCCGGGTCACCCCTGCTTTAAAAGCGTGTCAGCTAACCCCCTGCAGTACATCCAGTCGACTTGCGCTACCTCCGGTGACGGTCTCTACGAGGGTCTCGAATGGTTGAGCAACTCTCTCCGCAAGGCCGGCCACAACTAAGTTTGGCGAGCGCGAACCGTCACATAGCGAGTCACGAAAATGCCAACCGTCTGCTAGCACAGACCTCTTATAACGAACGCACGCCCCATCGTTGTGGCAGAGCCCAGCCATGACGCATCTCTACAAAACCACGGACCCATGAAATGTATTTGCATCGGTGTCAAATGTCAGATCGGATGGTGGAGCGGAGACACATGGTTTCTCTTCTCTTTTCGCCATTGGAGTTTGTGTGAAGTACTATGACATTTCGTTTCTGGGATCGTTGGGAAATCAGTTCTCTGGTTACTTTACGTGGTACTATCAAATTTGAGTCTCTTCTTACTAGCTGCTGTCTTGACTGCATGTGTGTGGTGACTCGAGAAGCTGTTCAGAACCGTTCATTGCTCTATTCACATGTAGGGCTACATTGCGCAAATCGTAATACATGCCAGAACGCCAATCATCCCCTCCCAGACCCCTCACGCTACCCATGCAAGGCGATAAATGTTGATAGCTTGCTGATCTGGTGTTCCATGTCAAATGGCGCCCATTTCGTTGCTTAAGTGGAATACTCTTGTCGCTCAAGACGCGGGTGCAGCCTGCTGCCCACCTGCCTCCTTGGCTGCCGTGATTGGCGGAAGCAGTCCCTTCTCAGCCCAGAGGTCGACCAGCGGCTGCATGGGCTCGATTTCCTTGTCGCCGATCAAGTTGAACAGCTTGCCGACGTTGATGAAATGGATGAAGCACGTGTTGAGCTCCTTGTACGCACTCACGTTCCAGAACGGGTCCAGCCAGTGGCCATGGTAGATGTGTGCATAGCATCGCATCATCTGGCGGTAGATACTCTTGATGTCGCCCTCGAAAGTCTCAGGGAAGCCAGACGACTTGCCGAGCCACTCGCGCCCGGCGAGTTGGGACATTGAGGCATTGGAACTGGTTGGGCCGAGAGGCTGTGGCGTTGAGGTTGGTGTCATGGAACCAGAAGCATAGGTCGAAGCTCCGATAGAGATGGCTGTGGTGTCTGTGGGGAAGATGTTGGGGTCATTGATCTTGCCCACGATCCACTTTTGTACGAGGTTGATGTACTGGATTGCGGGGATCTTGATGGGCTTCTTGTTGTTGTCCAGCCAGGTGTATGTGTGACCGCTGGCAGACATGGTAGGGCAGGTATCTGGGTTGCAAACAGGCTTGCCTGTCCGGTCGTCTGTTACCTTGATGATTTCAATCATTTGCTCGAGTAGCCTGTACTGCTCGACAACTGGTCACATGCTTAGCGATATCGGGGCATTGAAAAGTATAAACATACCTTGATGTGCAAGCCATTCACCCTCTTCGACTAGCTTCGGCTTCGCAGCCAAAGTCATAAAGTTACCCTTGACGATCAAGTTGGAGTACTCTTCGCGGAAGAAGAAAGGCGGTCTGCGGGAGCCAGACGGCACGGACCCGTCCGACGGAGCACCTTGGCTTTCGAACGACATGGCAGAGGAAAGAGCTGGAGAATGGGGCATAGGCGGTTGGCCTGGAGGTTGTTGGTTTGTTGGTGAAGCCGAGTATGGAGTGGTCGGCGACGCGGAGCCACCTTTGCCCTGCTGCTGTTGGCCCTTGTTGGATCGACCAGCCAATCCTTGGCGACTATCGGTGAAGTTGTTAGAATGAGGAAAAGACAACTTCAGGCTCCGACGGACGCAAGTTATAACACAATAAGACGGCAGGGAGATGCCGAAAAGTGGTGCATATCAGAAAGTGAAATCGTGAGACGACATGCAGCAAATGCCTGAATGTTTCAGGCCGTGGACTGGGGGTGGGAGGCGCGAGCATTTGAGGAAGGGGAGCATGTGCCAAGCAACTTACACGTTTGCGAAAAAAGAGGCCATGATTTGCGGATTCGTGGAATTTAGTGTGGGGGGTACGGGGCGGATACGTCCAATGCACCTAGAGAGGCCGGCTTATGAAGGTATGCAAGAGGATTGAGGGGGAGGATGTTGGTGATACGTCTCGAGCGGGCACGCTTTTTGGGCCCACTCTCCTAAGGGCTGCGTCGAGAAGGGGCGGCACGCTAGGTTGGATTGGGATAGCGCGATTCTCATGGGTTACTGGTCGCAACTTTGTTCATCGCGGCCATCAATCGGTGCGCGTACCTTTACCGCATCTATCTTGTCAATTTACTCGCAACTCTAGGTCTACGGTCGCGTCGTTCTATCTCAAACACCCTGGATACGACACCAACAGGAAGCCACCAAAGCCACCAACCGCGACCATGTCCGACGCGGGCCAGCTCTCCGACGAAGAAGTCAATGGCCAGGCAACTCCTGCTGGGAATGCCGACGATGGCACCCCGCTGAACACTGTGGAGGACAACGGTCTCGAGGATGATGAAGATGACCTGTTTGGCGACGGAGACGGAGATGCAGGTGAAGATGCGCCAGCGTAGGTCGCGAACAATCCCGTCCCAGTGTTAGACTGACGTGTTTAGTGAGCACCGGAAGCTTGATGATGCAGAGCTCGATTCAGGCGACGATGAGGGACGGGCAGATCGCGTCAGGGCACCAGAAGCTGTGGAAGAGGTCGAGCAACAGACATTTGCCTACATGGACGCCGACCTGGCGCGACATCCCGTTCCCGAGCCCACCGACAACGAGCTGTACCTTCTGAAGGTCCCGCGCTTCTTATCCTTCGAAGACAAAGCATTCGATCACAAGACCTTCCAGCCGCCGACTACAGACCACCACTCCAAGCTCACCGCGTCTGAGCACTTCTCAGCCTACAACACCGCCATGACCACGGTCAGATGGCGACGCTCACCCTCGAACAACGCCGTCCTACAGTCCAATGCTCGGATTCTTAGGTGGTCAGACGGCTCCCTAACCCTTCAGCTTGCGACCGACCCTACAACCCAGTACGACATCGATGCGAACACCCTAGCCCCACCGCAAGTCAACCCCAAGATTCCCACACCAACGGCTGTCAGAGACGAGAAGAATGGCAAGACGAGCGCGAAGAAGGAGAGCTACACATACCTGGTTGCGCCGTACGAGGAAGCGAACGTTATGCGCGTCACGAACAAGCTCACGGCATCCCTCAATGTCGTACCCACATCGAACACAAAAGACGCCGCGCTGGAAAAGCTACAAAACGATCTTGCCAAAGTCGCAGCAAAGGGCCGAGACGATGCCGACCAGGCCATATCCTTCATCAACGTGGACGAAGACCCCGAGCTCCGCCGACAACGCGAAGAGGCCACATTCAAGGAGAAGCAGAGGCAATTGCGCGCCCGCGAGAAGCACGAAGCGCGCCAGGCAGAGCGTGCAAACCGCACCATGGGTCGCACTGGCGGTCGCGCTTCAGGAGGTCTCGACATTGACGGATTGGAAGACCGCCCGGCTCGGAAGAAGAACGCGCAGAAGGGTGGCTTACGGCGTGACTGGAGTGACGACGAGGACTACGGTGGCCCCAGGAGGAATCGCGAAGACGACTACGACGAGGAGGATGACTTCATCGCCGCTAGTGACGAGGAACCGGAGATCGTGGACGACGACGATGATCCAGACGAGGGTATTGCGGCGAGCCCCAAGCGAGCACGGGGTGGTGTTGCTGCCGACGATGACGACGATGATGAGGTGGTTGTTAGCCGGACGAAGCGGAGACGTGTGGTTGACGATGATGAGGACGAAGAGTAGACTTCTGGAGATGCGTTGCCTCTGAAGACTGTGCTAGTGCGGCACTCGTCTCCTAGAGTCTCGGATTGGATTCAACAACAAACGCAAGGGAAATAGGATGTGGTGGATTGCCTTCACGGTATGGTCGCGAGATGTACAAGAAGAACTATTGGAGATTGATTCATTTCCATCTACGATCATCAGCATAGCCAGGAGTTTGGGCCTTCATGCATCACTTGTATTATTTACATTATTGACAAAATACAAGGAATGGTTTCATTCGGTATTCAGCTCTTGTTACAAGCTATACTGATGGCGTGCAATGTAGAGGATCCTTTCATAGTTCTACTTTTGCTGGCCTTACACAAGGTATCCCTACTCTGGTATACTAAGATAATGCAAGGCTGTAAGATTTGTCCGCGACCACACTCTTCCTGGAATATCCGGTTATATCAGATAGTCGCTTGCCTAATACACACTAGTGTACTGCATACTCGATTCGCGTGCATGTATGCTCATACCTGCGTCTTCAAGTTGAGTCACCTCAAGTGTAGCATAAAAATCCACCGTCTTTCAGACCAACGCAAATTACGCGACCTTAGACTCGGTCAACATGTCCACACAACAACCTCTTCGCCTGGGATGGATAGGTCTAGGATCAATGGGCCTAGCCATGGCGACCAAAATCCAGAAACATCTTGCACAGAACAATCTACCACCACTGAAGTACTGGAACCGAACTCTCTCACGAGGTGACAGCCTGAAAGACATCGGAGGCACACCCTGTTCATCGATCACAGAACTAGTTCGAAACTGCGATGTGATATTCATTTCCGTAGGTCTTTCTTCATCAAACACCCAGTATGAAGATATCCGACTGATAACTCAAAGGTAAGCGACGACAAAGCCCTCCAAACCATCACATCCACCATCCTCTCCAGCGGCTCCCTGACCACCAAAACCATAATCGACACAACGACCGTCCACCCCACCACCACATCAACCATAACAGCGCAGTTCACTTCCTCCGGCGCATACTACATCGCCGCCCCCGTCTTCGGCGCCACGCCCCTCGCCCAAGCCGGGCGTTTGCTGATGGCTATTGCGGGGCCTCCATCTGCCATCACCCCCATCCTGCCCTTCCTTGAAAATGTAATCGCGCGTGCGGTGATCAGAGTGGGTGAAGAGCCCTCTCAGGCACTATTACTGAAAACAACAAGCAACTTCATAACCGCAGGTCTCATGCTTCTCCTCAGCGAAGCTCACGTGTTGGCTTCTAAAACCGGGTTGCCTGCCTCTGTCCTCGAATCTTTAATCGAAGAGAACTTCGGTGCATACGCGCACGGCGTATCGAAACGGTTGACG